TTACCCCTGTGTGATGTATAAGGACCATCTATTACCCCTGTGTGATGTATAAGGACCATCTATTACCCCTGTGTGATGTATAAGGAACATCTTTTACCCCTGTGTGATGTATAAGGACCATCTATTACCCCTGTGTTGTGGGAGTGACATGTAATACCTGCATGGTGGTAAGCAACCCCATAATACACGGTACGCCCCAGCGTGCTGTCCAGACCCACGGGAGTGCGGCGTAGCTGCTCTACTACATCACTGAGGGCTGTTTTGTTCAGGGGCAGGGCGTTAAACTCTGTACTGTTCCTGGCAGCTGTACAAAAGAAGTCCAGAAGGTCAAACTCATACAACAACACTTAGCTTGCTTTGATTATGATGTCTACAATCATGAATATGATTTCTTGATAAAAAAATGAGAATAGATATATTTATAAAACGTAAATAAAGAAAACACCAGATAGTCTCATTTAATAAGATCTTAATACATTCACTATTTATCTAAACACTTACAGCTGACAGTGCAAGTTAAAAAGCTTTCAATTAAGATTTTTTTTTTTTAAAGTTTGTTTTTTCTAGTTTAGAAATCTTCCCCATCTCTTCCTTCTACCGTTTCTAAGGAAATGTCGACATATTTAGTTTGTCCTTACTTGGTAACGAGTATGGGTATCGCTGTGTATAAAAAGCGCATTACCCGTCAAACTGGTTATCATTTGTTCAATATATATGCACAAGGTGACACTACTTTACTATATATATAGAAGACTTTCACGCACGATTTTTTCCCAACATTTTGTATCAGATCAGTTGAATAAAATTAAAATGGAACACAACAAAGATAGCATTTATCTAAGAAAAGTGGAAATATTAGTAAAATACCACCAATTAAAATATCTAATGCACAATCCCTTCCCCCCACCCTCCCCCAAAACAGCCCTGAAAGAAGCAAACATATGACGAACGCTAATGCCTACTTTTTAGATATCCAAATAGTGATAACCTCCAGTGTGAAAACAATACTAATTCCAATAATTTGCATGAGAACGGTTCAATTATCAAATTTCACATTGTTGACTACACACCTGGGAGTGTCACATTTTGCATGTGTTGTGCTAGCAAAGCCTCTACACGACGAAGACTAAGCAGTTCATAACAAAGTTTTCGTGTGTTGGTGCAGTTCTATGTACGAGAAAGATCGGTGTTATATATGGGATTTATAGAAGTATGTTCAGTAATATACCTTTTTTTGGATACACAATCTTCAAGAATGTGCCATAAGTAACAACCAGCTTGGCAGGGTTTCAAAGTGTGTCTGATTTTTGATATTGGTTGCCGATCAAGGTGCGCGGTGCATTGAATCGCAAGATGGTCAGTTGTAGAATGATAACCAGTTTGACAGGTAATGTGCTTTTTATACCCAGCAAGACCCATACTCATTACCACGCAAGGAAAAAAATAAAATGTCGGGACTTCCTTAGAAACGATAGTCGGAAAATATGGGGAAGATCTTTTTTTTTTTATATCAATTGAAAGCTTTTTTACTTGCACTGTCAGCTTTAAACTTCATTCTTTAGTATATGTAACATTTTATCTACCCATGTCCTTCTTCAGTATGTTGTAAAACTCCCGGGCAATGCTCTCGCACAATTTCTCACACCAGTTCTTGGATGGACAAAATATAAGGACAGAATGACCGTTGGTCAAGGTCTCCAGACATAGGGGTATCACATGATCATCATCGCCTTTGAAGGTCCGAGTCAGGTCAACATCACGCATTTTTGACATGGAGGAATCGTAGATGGCCGTGCCTAGTTTGATGGTCTCCGTGAGAGGCACAGGGCGGAAGTCCGTGATAAACATTTTAGCGTTCAGCCAGCTGGCCAGAAGGTCAAGGTTGGGCAGGGTGGCACTCATCCCTACAATCTGTATCGGGTTGTGTATTACTTCGCTCACCCCTCTACAGAATGACAAACGTCCAGAACATCAGACACAATTTGATATAATACACATATTCCTGAAGATAGATCAGCAGCATTTCAAATATCTTGCCAATGATTTGACCAAGACACATATAAACAATTTATAAATCTGTGATTTAAATCATATACATGTACATGTTTTGTTTTATACACACATCATACAAAATATAAATAATCTATTACAACAGCAGATCCAGCATTTCACCTTGAAAGATAAAAATACTCTTGAGATTCTTCAATCAAGAACTGCTGTTGTAGTACCAGGCGTTCACGTAACTTTGGTGTATTGAGGAAGTTTTACACCTACACAGTAACCTTTATTGTTAGTGTTTGGAGGAAACCTACTTAGTAGAACATCTGACTCAATGTAGCCCCTCCTTCAGTTGGACTTGATACGGCTTCAGCCATTGTTTCGCTGTGCTGTGTGTATATATGACAGAACTTTCCAGGGCAAGACATTTTTATCTTACCCTCCATTTCATGAACATGACACCACAAATGACCAGTAAGGATGTGACGCCACAAATGACCAGTAAGGATGTGACACCACAAATGACCATGAACATACAAATGCCATATTGAGAAAACTACAACATAATATAATTATGTGGTTTCAGAGCTAATTTCAGTGACTGGAAGGAGAGCAAAATACTCTTTTATGCCCAGGAGGGTAGGGTACGAGAATTCTACCTTTAGGTTTTAGCCTCTGGTTTCACCAAGTTTGAAAACCCTATGGTCAGGACTTCTGTATCCTACACTGCTCGGCAGGAAGGGGTTTTATGTTCTTACTTCTTATTGACTGTAGCCCTAGGGGGTCTTATGTTCTTACTTCTCATTGACTGTAGCCCTAGGGGTCTTATATTCTTACTTCTCATTGACTCTAGCCCTAGGGGTCTTATATTCTTACTTCTCATTGACTGTAGATCTAGGGGTCTTATATTCTTACTTCTGATTGACTGTAGCCCTAGCCTGCTCCTTTCTGATGACGTAGCAGATTTTAGTCAGCAGCAGCTCCAGCAGATAGCCTCGATGTGGATCTCCAACCAGATGGAGCTCATCAACAACAATGATTCCTGGTAACCAATTTAAATTTCAACATGTAACAAAAGCATGTTAATGCATGTGCAGTTGTGTTAAATATCAACGCAATCAACACATACACTTCCTATCAGCTCTCTTTTCAAATGCTGAAATAATCTGTGCATGAATTTACATTTTTCTTTTTATACCAACTTCAAGTAATTTTATCATTTCTGATCATCTTTCATAATAACATAATCTCATAAAACTGAAATTTCACTGAACAGGATTTGTTAAAAATTGTTGGGCAGTAATCTTCAGTAGTCTACACTAGCTACTTCAAACTGTAATATTCTCACCCAATCAGAATCATACTTTCTGTCATTTGAAATGAATTTTGACAGTGTTCCGCTGTTTAACATGTAAGCAGCACCTCTGCTGTATAACATTATGCCCGAGAGTTGATAGACAGGATTAATTGTATTACCTCAATGTGGTGATTAATGTTACAGAAATGAAGTGTTGATTTTGAGAAGACTGTACCTAGCTGGTCGAGTGAGTTTTCCTCCAACATCCTGTTGACGAGGCCGTTTCCCTTCTCTATAGTACACACAGCCACATCAACACTGCTCAAACCTCCGGGGGGAGAGTGGCTACCCATAAACCCATTCACACGGATACCGGCGTCCTGGTACAACTCCTAAATACAGGCCAATCAATTTTACAAACATTGCAAAGGAGGAGGAGTATCCCTAGATACATTTACCAGTACACCAACTAAAACACAAGGACTGATCCCAACTCAGGTATGGCGGGTGATCAGGTCTGATATTTGTATTTGAGTAGATATGATCTTTGACACCTTACAGTATCCACATAGTCATTAACCACCATACTATTAAACATTAACACCTATTCAAATACTGTTCACATCATACTATTAAACATTAACACCTATTTAAATACTGTTCACATCATACTATAAAACATTAACACCTATTCAAATTCTGTTCACATCATGCTATAAAACATTAACACCTATTCAAATTCTGTTCACATCATGCTATAAAACATTAACACCTATTCAAATTCTGTTCACATCATGCTATAAAACATTAACACCTATTCAAATTCTGTTCACATCATGCTATAAAACATTAACACCTATTCAAATTCTGTTCACATCATACTATAAAACATTAACTCCTATTCAAATACTGTTCACATCATACTATGAAACATTAACACCTATTCAAATACTGTTCAGATCATACTATAAAACATTAACACCTATTCAAATACTGTTCAGATCATACTATAAAACATTAACACCTATTCAAATACTGTTCACTTCATACTATAAAACATTAACACCTATTCAAATTCTGTTCACATCATACTATAAAACATTAACACCTATTCAAATTCTGTTCACATCATGCTATAAAACATTAACACCTATTCAAATTCTGTTCACATCATGCTATAAAACATTAACACCTATTCAAATGCTGTTCACATCATACTATTAAACATTAACACATATTCAAATGCTGTTCACATCATACTATTAAACATTAACACATATTCAAATACTGTTCACATCATACTATGAAACATTAACACCTATTCAAATACTTTTCACATCATACTATTAAACATTAACACATATTCAAATACTGTTCACATCATACTTTTAAACATTAACACCTATTCAAATACTGTTTACATCATACTATTAAACAATAACACCTATTCAAAGACTGTTCACATCATACTATTAAACAATAACACCTATTCACATACTGTTCACATCATACTATTAAACAATAACACCTATTAAAATACTGTTCACATCATACTATTAAACAATAACACCTATTAAAATACTGTTCACATCATACTATTAACCATTAACTCCTATTCAAATACTGTTCACATCATACTATAAAACATCAACACCTATTCAAATACTGTTCACACCATACTATTAAACATTAACACCTATTCAAATACTTTTCACATCATACTATTAAACATTAACGCCTTTTCAAATACTGTTCACATCATACTATAAAACAATAACACCTATTCAAATACTGTTCACATCATACTATTAAACAATCAAACATCAATCTACTCCTTTCTGACGCATTTTGACATTCAGGCTTTTATACTTACCTGAAGATAAAACATTTTTTCCCTGGTAACCGACACAAATGGTAGAATGATGATGGCCTTTTTCTTGGTCTCCACAATACGCTTCAGTACAAGTAATTCTGCCACCATAGTCTTCCCTGCACTGGTCGGGGCAGAGTACACGAGATTACCTCCCGCTGTCACAGAAACAATACAATGGAGAAATCAGGTATACTCCAGTAAGCCAGACATTGCATATAGTTATATTAACACAATCAGCTGCCCAGGGAAATGATGGAATGTTTAAAAACATAAAGAGGATAATTAGGACACGAGAAATTCAGGATAAATTAAATTGGATTATACGACACATGCAATTTTAATCAAATAAACATATTTATTTTACTGTTTTGATTGTTTCTGTTTTATGTCCTTAATTAACAGCTATAGCCATTTAAGGATGTGCCAGGTTTTTGTGGTGGAGGAAATCCGGAGTTCCCAGAGAAAAAACACCGACCTATGGCCAGTACCTGGCAACTGCCCCACGTAGGCCTCGAACCTGCGATTTTACAAAAATTGTGAAACATGTTATAAACTCAAAGTAATCACTCTATTTGGCGAAGGTGTAAGCATGCTGAGGATGTCAATATGGGAGGAAATGGACTACATTGAGAAGACGACCCACTTCACACCCTAGACACAAACATCTGATGTGCACTTGACTAATGTGTTTGGTCAAGTGACTCCATACTTTTTAAAGTCTGAGCGGGGGATCAAACCTCAGCTGTCTTGGTTAAAAAGGTTAAATCCAGTTAACAAATTTTTCTTAATTCAATTCAGTGGTTCCTGATATTGGTTTAAAAGAACCTTCTAGAGTGATCTTTTGCGTGTAGTAATTGTGACATTGATAACACTGTCTGAAGACACCAAACATGTCGGAGATATAACATATATATAATGTACTTGATAATTGTACCAAGATTGGCAAAAATTCTATAATAAATAAGCCTACTACAGGAATGAGAGTCATTGACGAGGAATCGATCACGACAACATGGAGAAATGTAAAATTAGTGTACTACTATTGGTATGCTTCAAAATAAAGAAACACAAGCTTACCCAGGACATTTTCTGTACACAAACACTCAGCCTGCCAGTCAAACATTGTCGTGATCCCCCGTTTGTGGTACTGATTTAGCACTGTGTCTGGCAGACCCCAGTTAGCCAGTACCAGCCTGTCTGTACCTTCAGTACTCATCTCTGTGCCCGACTCTGTAAAATACCATAATTTAAATCTCATCTCACAGTTTAAGATTCTCTCACTCCTGATTAGTTGTCTATAATTTATTAGATTCTCTCACTCCTGATTAGTTGTCTATAATTGATATGATTCTCTCACTCCTGATTAGTTGTCTATAATTGATATGATTCTCTCACTCCTGATTAGTTGTCTATAATTGATATGATTCTCTCACTCCTGATTAGTTGTCTATAATTTATTAGATTCTCTCACTCCTGATTAGTTGTCTATAATTGATAAGATTCTCTCACTCCTGATTAGTTGTCTATAATCTATTAGATTCTCTCACTCCTGATTAGTTGTCTATAATTGATATGATTCTCTCACTCCTGATTAGTTGTCTATAATTGATATGATTCTCTCACTCCTGATTAGTTGTCTATAATTGATATGATTCTCTCACTCCTGATTAGTTGTCTATAATTTATAAGATTCTCTCGCTCCTGATTAGTTGTCTATAATTTATAAGATTCTCTCACTCTGATAAGTTGTCTATAATTTATAAGATTCTCTCACTCTGATAAGTTGTCTATAATTTATAAGATTCTCTCACTCTGATAAGTTGTCTATAATTTATAAGATTCTCTCACTCGGATTAGTTGTCTATAATTTATAAGATTCTCTCGCTCCTGATTAGTTGTCTATAATTTATAAGATTCTCTCGCTCCTGATTAGTTGTCTATAATTTATAAGATTATCTCACTCCTGATTAGTTGTCTATAATTTATAAGATTCTCTCACTCGGATTAGTTGTCTATAATTTATAAGATTCTCTCACTCTGATAAGTTGTCTATAATTTATAAGATTCTCTCACTCGGATTAGTTGTCTATAATTTATAAGATTCTCTCAATCTGATTAGTTGTCTATAATTTATAAGATTCGCTCACTCTGATTAGTTGTCTATAATTTATAAGTAAACTGTGGTATGATACCCATAACGATTTAAAAAGCATTCCACTTATCAAACTTTTAATAAGCACAGTCATCAAAACAAAGTACTGACAACTCCTGTAGGTCAGGTTTACAAACTTGTCTCACAAACTTGTCTCCATTCAGATATATTTCGAAATAACTAAGTTTGAAAATTCTTTTTCTGCCATAAACAAAAAGATGAAATTAGAAAAATTAAAAGTAGTGTTACTTTGAAAGAAAAAAAGCTTGATATCTACTTGTTTTGGTTTTAAGGGCTATGCCTGTCAGATCAGGTGTGTTACTGGTTTTCTTGTTAGTGTCGACATCGGATGATTCTGGTCCAAGGTTATTAGTTTTCTCGTTACTTTTGACATCAGACGCTTTTGGCCCAGCTTTACTGGTTTTGTTGTTACTGATGACATCACAGGATACCAACCCTTGGTTACTGATTTTGTTGTTACTGATGACATCACAGGGTACCGACCCTTGGTTACTGATGACATCACAGGATACCGACCCTTGGTTACTGATTTTGTTGTTACTGATGACATCACAGGATACCGACCCTTGGTTACTGATTTTGTTGTTACTGATGACATCACAGGATACCGACCCTTGGTTACTGATTTTGTTGTTACTGATGACATCACAGGATACCGACCCTTGGTTACTGATTTTGTTGTTACTGATGACATCACAGGATACCGACCCTTGGTTACTGATTTTGTTGTTACTGATGACATCACAGGATACCGACCCTTGGTTACTGATTTTGTTGTTACTGATGACATCACAGGATACCGACCCTTGGTTACTGATTTTGTTGTTACTGATGACATCACAGGATACCGACCCTTGGTTACTGATGACATCACAGGATACCGGCCCTTGGTTACTGGTTTTCTTGTTACTGATGACATCAGACGTTACTGGTCCAATGTCAGCCTGTTTTGAAATGGCTGTTTGTATTTCCGGAGCACAACCTTGCTTTGTTTCAGGAGACTGACTATCCTCAACTAGCATTGGCCTATCTAATGATTTTATGCTATTTTCACACGACCACTGATCTCTTGTTCCAGTGTCTGGTACATGACTAGATTGGATGTTGCGTCTTGAACGGTCACCTTTACCTGCTGTGCCTTCAGTGGAATTCTTTTTAGGCATCTTCTGGTGTAACCCTTGATTATCTCCAGGAGCTTCTGACCCAGTACACAACGATTCTGTCCTTTTGCCCCGGAGAGATCTCCTGGGGGTTTCACAAAAGTTTGATTTGCCATTCCTGATATTATCAACAGAATTTTCTTTCTGAGAATCTACCCCAAGGTTCAGAGATGTTTCCAACCCACACATGGGGCTAGGAATGGTGAAGAGAGACTTGAACAGCTGAGTTTGGACGTGAGGGGTGGTTCTATCTGATACCCTGGGACGTTTAGACACACCCTGTGTGTGAGTGAGATTGGGTGTGGAGGCCTCCTGTGGACTCTGCCAGGATATGTTATGATCATTAACAGCAGACATTTTTTTATTAGCTTTTCCAGATGGAGCACTTCTTTTGTTCAGTGCTGTATTAGGCTTCGGAGTTATCTTTCTATGTTCTCCCGTTGTATTCCGTTTCTCTAAACTGGTTTGTGGAAATACCTGTCCTTCCTTACCAACATTTTGCTGCGATTTAGCGTCAGTTTTGGGTACAGATCTGTCAGGGGTAACCTTTCTTTTACATGAAGGCACACCACTGCCTTGTTGCTCTTTCTCCATCTGTTCCACGATGTCAACCATCTCTGTATCGAATTCAGAGCACAGAGATAGCGAGAAGGAAGATTTTGAGGCCATGGGTACTGTCTTCTCCTGCTGAAACTGATGCTTGCCATCCTAAAATGTATTAATTTTTCAAAGGAAACTTTAGAGTTGATTCTAGATATGTGTCTGACAATATCACACTGATGACATATTAGATGTGAGAAAATTTCGATATAAACAATTCTATTAAAAATTAATATCCTCTTTATGCAAGACTGTGATATATACATGATATGTGGCATTAAAGAAATGCTAATAAAATGAATTAGCTTTTACATTATTTATAAAGATTCATTTAACAACGTATTGAAGGTAAAAGATTGGGGCATTATATCTAATCTTGAACACTTTGTAGAAATCTTACTTCCATAACATAGTAGTGTCTTGCTACAAAAATGTTGATCAAAAATGTTGATGATAAATATCAAAGTAGGCTGAAGCACATACGTACGGGCAGACATGATTGATTAATGTAGAAAAGGATGTTTCACATGCTTAAAGATTTGTTGGCACTTTTGTAAAAATTAAAAATAAATGAAAAAAATGGCAAAGAACTAAATATCTAAGAAATATTCATTGTCTCTTTTGACTTACATTCAGTTACCTCAGTTCATATCAACTGGAGCTATCATCTCATCAGTTATGATATCTATAACCTATATAGCTATAACCATCGAATGTTTTTGTGATATAATAAATTGCTCCAGGCCTATGTTTCATCACAGAAAAAATATTACAGAAAATCAGCATTACCATTCCGAAGAATGAAGCAGTTTCACGTAACAAGTAAACATGGAATAGACATATAAATCCGTTTTTGAAAATCAAGAATTAGATGACATTATTTGGCATACATGTACTAATTAATACCTTTTTAGTTGCCCGATAGATACTTCTCCCATCAGCATTGTTGGAACTAGTGTAAAGAAAACAATTTTAGATATAATTTCCAATCAATAATCAAGATAACAGAAAGAAGCAGCTATATTATAAGACTTCATTCTCTCTCACTCTCACGTAATTAGCTATCAATAATTAAACATGGAGATTTACATCTATACAATAGATCGTATAGAGATACTATCAAGAAGATATTGAAAAATAAGTGCATAAATATTTTCCATAAATTCATCATAACTTAAATCACTAGCAGGTTTCTTACCAGTGCGGCATGTTATTGTGAAACATGGTTTAATGAACCATGGTCAAATTATTGTAATGGTTGTTTGAATTGCAGTTCTTCTTGCTATCATATTGTGATAAACAACAACAACTCCCTCAATGGTGACAGAAAGCCACTACCATTTTTTCTGGTTGACTTGTTCATACTTCCATGGATCCGGACTTCACAATACCATATACAACATTAGTGACAGACATAGAATGATCTGGGGAATTTTTGTATTATTCATAAAAGTTTCAGAGATACACAGTTGTCGGAATACTAAGTTTTAAAACTAGCTGGTGTAAATTGAAAAAGAGTTTCCCATAAAATCATCTAGTGTTCCAGTTGTTCATAGTAGAATTATTAGGTTCAGCATATATATATAATGTGCATTGACGATTCTTCCACTTTGAAATGTATAATTATTGTTTATGTTCAGGAATGGTATTGTAGAAATATGTGGGTGTATGGTTATGAATGATTTGGAACAGGTACACAGGAGCAAATGTCTGATTATCTTCTAGTTTGTAGTTTTTTTTATTGCATATTTTGCCATTGCATAAAAAATAAGGTGTGAAAACACTGTGTCACAGCAAGGACAACCATTTTTTCTTCATTTAGAAAATACATTGATGGTTGATGTTGACTGGCATGTTCATTTTGAATGGCTTAACATAATGAAAGATGACACTTAGCGTGTACACATGTCTACAATATTGTATATAGTGATGCATTTTTACAATGAACATTTCTGATTTACTGCATTTTCCCGCCTGATATTTAAATTCTATTGTTTATAACTCAATATTTTTTTGAAAAGTGAAGTTTTATAGAAAAAATGTTACAAATATATTGATCATCCACAAAATGTCTTACACCGACTTCCATTCTCTGCCTGCAGTTGACTGTGTGTTGACTGGAAGTCTACCCAGGCGTTTACGACAAACAGCATGTCCGTCTCCCCTGGATGCCATTCTAACAGCATGTCCGTCTCCCCTGGTTGCCATTCTAACAGCATGTCCGTCTCCCCTGGTTGCCATTCTAACAGCATGGCTCTACACAATTCAGTACTTGACTGAAGCGCCGAACATCCAACCAGGTGTACATGTAGACTGATATAGGAGTCATTATAGGTGGTCAGTTCCTGTCCTCATTGTCAGTCTCTTCAAGCTGAAAATGCAATGTTTTTTTCTATGTAAAAATGACAGGCTAATGGAAGAGGTCCAAGGGGAACTTTAACAACGGTAATAACATCTTTACCAAAAGCCAACAGTTAAACAACAATCCCATGCACATACAGAATGACTATGTTAGTCATATACTAAGTATATTATTTTTCTTTTCTAAGTGTTATATTATTAAAATTCATTTCATGTATGGTAAATGTGGAGAAGGGAATGTGTTTTACAAGTGTTTACTGATGCTTCCTGTGAGATTGCATTGGCTTAAGTATTGCTCCTGGAAGGGTTGTTTAGAAATTAATGATGATGATAGTATGGCCATGGCTTGTCACCTCTACATCTTTGGACTTCGACAGAAAAGTGCAGGTTTCGACTGCTGGTTACCATAGCCTGGTATATTAGTTCTGCAATTTTTTTAGTGAAACATAAAAATATATATATACTTTAGTACCGAGGACTAACATAGCAAATCGTATCTGATTCCGTGGTAGTATTTATACAATGACATCATTTCAGTTTGTCCATGCACAGCACCTGTGTGCTGGATTGTGGGAGGATCTAGAGGAAAATAATTGTTATTATAAATGCAAACAAAGATTTTTCTTCCCTCGGGTCAGCACTGGGATCACAGGGGCTCGTTTCGAATGTCTAATACACATATTTTATATTGATATGGATGGTTATGTTTGCTGTGACCCAAATCAGTATAGAATAGACTACTGTACTGTAACTCATGAACCGTGTTAAATTACGAAAATGTCAAAACACGAAAAAACGTTCGACCAAAAGTTGTTTATAATAACCATATAAATAGCGATATTTAATAAAGATAGTGAAGTACAAAATTTTGATTTTTTTATATAGGATACAAGTAGATTCGAAGTGCATTCAACCATAACATACAAAGATGTTACCCAAATCATAGGTGTTTGAAATTCTGACTGTGGATTGAGATAAAAATCATATAAAAAAAATATATAGTAATACCCTTATTTTTTTATATGATTTTTATCTCAATTCACAGTCAGAATTTCAAACACCTATGCCCAAATGCAGGATTATTACCTATAGGCCTATGCGCCGTTGTGCCCAACCTGTTAAATTAATTAGACATTTGTAACGAGCCCCTGTGCTGTGATTGAGGGATATGAAGCTTGTTCTCGAAAAAAAGAAACATGTTTAAAATTGGTGTTAGATCATTGCATTAACTCCTATGAAGTTTCAGAACTGATGGTCGTTTTACCTACTGTTATTAAACTTTCCATCTGCTTTTGAACTATCCGCCATTTTTTAAATCGGGATCTAGGAGACGCTCTATAATTAAGTGTAGACTTGTTGAAGTCCCATCAAAATTCTACATGGAAACATTGACCACCTTCATTATCTGTATGTGCCGATGGAAAATTGAAGATGGTGTATATTCGTGCATTTAATGGTAAACCAGATTATGAAAGATTCTTGTTTATAGAATATGTAAAATTCGAGATATTTCATTTTTAAAGGATCGACTGTTGCAACATGTTTAGTTGATAAATAGTAAGAATAATATGAGATAAAGGTAGGTGTACGTGTACGTTTTTTCTGCATCCTTAACTTTCGACGGCATTAAAGGGTGTTTTTTTTAGAATATCTGTTATGGCTCAATAAGGTAAACAACATTCAAGTATATACTTATCAGTTAATTCTAATAAAAATTAAAAAAAAAACGATTAAATTTGATAAATCACGCATCAAATGATGCAATACATAAAAATCAATTCACAAAATCAATACGCCGACGTCATATTCTGTTCTGTTCTGTTGAAGAATTCTCTTCTTGGATAGTAGAACCTCCGAAATTGTGAAACCAGCCTAGTCTATTTACCTAAAGGCCAATTAATTCGTACATATTATATATAAAGAGTATTTATGAACAAGATAAGATATATTTTATCAATGTGTTACACATTTAAATACATAAAATAAACATATAAAGACATATAATAATTCAAATGTCCAATCCTAATTACATTTAGGAAACACTATATTTTATTACATCATTTATTTAATTGCAGCAGATATACATGTAAGCTAAATGGCTTTAGGAGAGGAATTAATATAAACTTTAAGCTTGGTTTTTAATCCCCGATATATTATTTATGTAAAAAGGCATAATGTGGAAATAACGGAAATAGAATATTGTAAAACAAAACTAAGTTAGATAGACAATTAAAAGATTAAAAGAAAATCTCAATAACACATCACATTGATGAGCGTTTCTTTTCTATTGGTTCCACTAATACAAGGAAAAGTCCGGTAGAGTTGAGCAACATGTTATTTTCAGTAATTTTAGTCAATATCAACAATGTCAATGTCAATATTAAGAACATCATTGATCAGTGCATAGAGTGGAAGACACCTTTATATATTAACTTTATTGACTTCAAGAAGGCCTTCGACAGTATACATAGATAGAATCTTTGGGCAGTCCTCATATGGAGTACCAGACAAGATAGTTACTCTGACTGTGCAGTGCTACTGAACAACAAAGCTACTGACTGGGTCGCTGTTAAATCCGGAGTAAGACGGGGTCGCATCTTATTCCTGGTAGCCATTGACTGGGTGAATAGGAAGACCATCAGTGACAAAAATTAGAGGCATCACATGGTCCATGTTTACAACACTAGAGGACTTTGTCTTTGCCGATAATGTAACCCTCCTGTCATCAAAACAAAACAATATGCAGGAAAAGACACGCCGGCTCAGTCATTTTGCAAGACAAATTGGACTAGAACTCAATGCCAAGAAATGCGGCTAAACACTACATCAAACTGAGACTAGATGCTGAGGGCACAGAAATCCAGCAGGTTGACAAATTCACATATCCAGGTACAGTTGTCAGCACAGAAGACTAAAATAAAAAGACACTATAAGTAGGCTGGCCAAAGTAAGATCTTTCACGACCCATTTTGAAGTCCAAACAATGCAACCGGATGACAAACTTTTGTATGGAAGGGAAGAGTTACAAAAAAGATACGATAGCACTGTCAAGTTTCAACCACAGTTGCCTAAGGCAAATGAACACCTCCTAGACATGACAAATTCCACATGCGTCATCCAAGATACACAACAGATCGAGGCGCTTTAGGATGACAGGTTCAATTATCACCAGGATAACCGTTAGATGGCTGGGGCATGTTCTCAGGATGACAGGATTAATTATCACCAGGATAACCCTTAGATGGACACCCCGCAGCAATTTTGCACGTCACCCGAAATGGTGTCGGGGTGAGAAATCGTGCCGTAACACACCACAGGGGAAGAGACCAAGAGGCAGACCAAAGACCATCGTCGGATACCCACGGTTGATTTCGCTTCGGCACTCACTCATCGTTATGAGTGAGTACCGAAGTGAAATCAACCGTGGGTATCCGGCGATGACCAAAGACCACCTTTGTTTTTTAATCCTCCCATAATTTTCGCGTGTATACCAGGGTGTCGGCTTGAAGCATGTGTGCGTTGTATGATATGTTTTTCATATGTATTTATAAATTTTTGTATGTTTTATTTTCAAGTTTTAAGATAGCTTTTCGCTTCTGCTAAAGGCTATTTTTAAATTGCGGAACTGCAGAGAAGTCTTAAGGCTTTGCACTGTATGACCTCCTATGGCCCTGCACATCGGCAACCTGGGAGCTCTTTCTTCAGTAAAACATTCTGATCCTCATCATCTAAGCATCGTTTCATGAAATGTTAGTGAAAATCTACCTGTGAATTTCAAAGGAGAAGTCGTTTGAATGTTTTACACTCTATGGCCTCTTATGACCCCGCCCCTCAGTCCCCCGGGGTTGGGGTTGGTTAGCCTCATCTTGAGTATATATTGTACTTTCTAATCCTATGTACATGCTTATATGATTACCGCAAAGTTTCATAAAAATGCCAGACGGTTTCTTGACGCACAACGCACGACGACGGATATAAGGCGATCGCAATAGGTCTCCTGTGTGACTTAGGTGTCCTGATAAAATAACATATGCCCAGTATTTCTTTCAAACTCAAGTAGAAATATTTACAACCGGGTGATTATAAATACCCACTCATACCCACTCATCCAAGAATTGAACCCTGAGGAACTCCAGCACATATCAAACCAGCATCAGAAGAAGATTTATTTATAAACACTTTCTGTTGTCTGGTGCTTAAGTAGTTTTCGATCCAAGAAAGGAAATTTCCTGAGATACCATATGATTTTAACTTGACTCATAAACCATTATGCCAGACTCTGTCAAAAGCTTTTGAGATGTCACAGAAAACTAAACAAGTATGCTTCTTTTCTTATAGATCAGGACAAATATTATGATATAATTCGATTAATTGATACACAGCTGAGTGGCCAGGCATAAATTCTGATTGGTACTGATAAAATAGAGAATTTTCAAAAAAATAATTATGCAAGTACTTAAAGATAACCCTTTCAAATGTTTTACCAACCGCAGACAAAAGAGAAATCGGTCTATAGTTAGAAGGAGAATGCCTATCACCCTTCTTAAAAAGAGGCATGACTTTAGCAAATTTCCAAATATCAGGATAAATACAAGTAGTGTCGTTTAAGTACGATAATGTTTCGAACGCAGCCCTAGATAAACGAACGCACTTCTATAAGCAGAGCTACAATGCACAGTTTCGGAGAATAAAAAAAACAGTGTTTCAAGAATATTTTGACCTTCTTTCATTTTTTTCTACAAAAAAGATTGGTTCATGAATGAAATATATCACCGATTTTTCAGGTATGGGTTCATTTTGAGCTAGACAAGAGGCCCAGAGGGCCTGTATCGCTCACCTGAATATATTTAAAATAATTGGTATGAAGTAAATATACAGCATGGTATGTGCTGTAAGTACATATGAAATTTCAGAAAAATCCATCCAGTACTTGAGATATAGCGAGAGCAAAGTTCAAACAAAGCCCCACCCCTATGCCCCTAGGGGGTCATACCCACCAATTATACAAAATTGAGTCATCGTGACCCAAGGATGCTCCAAACTAAACAAGGATAAAATCCCTTAATCCTGATGATCGAAGAAGGATTTTAAAGGTTTTACCTCTATTCCCCCTATTGGGCCCCTCCCTTTTGCCCCCAGGGGGACACACTCGCTGTTTATACGAAATTGAGTCCCTTTTGCCTAAGGATGCTCCAGTCTAAATTAGGATAATATCCCTTAATCCCTATGGTAGACGAAGGATCATAAAGGTTTTACCTATATTTTCCCTATTGGGCCTCGCCCCTCAGGTCCAAGCGGGGCCACAACCACCGTTTATACAAAATTGGTTCCCCTTCACCCAAGGGTGCTTCATACCAAATTTGGACAAAATCCTGTCATTCCTACAGAAGAAGAAAGGATTTTGAAGAATTTGCTATGTTTCCCCTATGGGGCCCCTCCCTTTTGCCCCCAGGGGGCCACACTCGCTGTTTTTACGAAATTGAGTCCCTTTTGCCTAAGGATGCTCCAGTCTAAATTAGGATAATATCCCTTAATCCCTATGGTAGACGAAGGATCATAAAGGTTTTACCTATATTTTCCCTATTGGGCCTCGCCCCTCAGGTCCAAGCGGGGCCACAACCACCGTTTATACAAAATTGGTTTCCCTTTACCCAAGGATGCTCCACACCAAATATGAACCAAATCCTTTCATTCCTACAGAAGAAGAAGGTTTTTAAAGAATAATTTGCTATGTTTCCTATATTGGGCCCCGCCCCTCAGGCCCCTCAGGGGCCAGACCCCCGGTTTATACAAAATTGGTTACCCTTCCCCCAAGGATGCTTCAGACCAAATATGGAACAAATCCTTTCATTCCTACAGAAGAAGAAAGATTTTAAAGAATTTGCTATATTTCCCCTATTGGGCCCCGCCCCTCAGCCCCCAAGGGGGCCACACCCACCATTTATTTGTTCCCCTTCCCCCAAGGATGCTTCTGACCAAATTTAGTCAAAATCTGCTCAGTCGTTAATGACTAGTAGCGTTTTAAAGGAAAAGTTGATCTCATAGATATGAGTGCAGTTGCCGCAATTTTAGGTGTCCTTGGAGGTGGCATTAATGTTTTTGGTTACTTTATGATAAGATAAAACTATATACATGCATGATAATTATAAGAGTTAATATAGAGGTTTTTTAGGATGATAGGCAGACAGAGCTGATTTGAAATGGTTCAAGTCAGGTGACTGGGCTATATCTTCGGGCAGAGAATTCCATGTACTGATAGTTCTGGGAAAAAATGAATTTCGATATTTGTCCGAATTAGTAGAAATTTGTTGGAG